GGGGGAGGCTGGGATGGGAAAAATAGACAAAAAACTCTACTTGAAAAATAACTAAATAAAAATTTTTAAAAAAGCTACCATTAATTTGGAAGCCATTTTGTTACTCTTTAACAAAATAAGATGCTTAAAAAATAGGGATTTCTCATCCACCCAGATATTACGTACAAGATCACAGAAAGTTAACTATGATCTAATCTGTGCTCTAGAAAAAGTCAACTAGGAAATTCTGTTCATTGGTATTAAAAGAAAAACACAAACATTACTTTTAAGAATAAAAGAAAATTCTGTACTACCCTGTGCTGGTGAATTATTTTACTTCAAAAATCCATTCATTTATTCAACTACTATTTATTGAGCTCTCTTTTGTGGCAAGTCCTTAGGAATAACCTTTGGTGATATGGAGGGGAAAAAATTCAAGTTCTTACCTTCAGGGAGCTTATGAGTATATTCTTGTTAGTACTTTTTAATGCTGTTTCAAAATCTACTCAAATTAAATGATGCTCTTTATGTGAAAATTGTATCAAAATCAAAGCTTATTGAATCTGATCTCCTGCTTATTGACATGCCCAATAATGACGTGTTTGTGTAAATTACAGTGCATGCAGAGCTGACAGCAACACTGCACATGGACACAGCTCTGCCAACTGCTTGTAGTCAGCTTCCGTTCTGTTTGAGTGATCAGTACTCAAGCTGTATGTTTTTAAAAATCACTTTATTGATGTATGATTAACACGTGAAAAGCTGTGCATATTTAATGTATACAAGTTTGGAGATAGGTATACAGCCATGAAACCATCACCACAATCGGTGCCATAAGCATCTCCATCACCTCCACGTTCCCGCCCACTCGCACTATGCTGTACAGTAGATCTTTAGGACTTATTCATCTTGTACCCTTTGACTAATACACATTTTTATTTACCTAAGGTAAATGCCTAGGAGTAGAATTGCACACACATCTAGTAAACTGTGTTTAACTTTATAAGACACTGTCCAATTTTTCCAGAGTGGCTGTATCCTTTTGTATTTCCATCAGCAAGAGTTCTAGTCGCTCTGTATCCTTACTCAGCACTTGGGATTACAGGGGTTTTTTTATTTTAATTTTAGCCATTCTAATAGATGTGCAGTAATATCTCATTGTGATTTTAATTTGTAGTTCCAAAATGGCTAATTATGTTGAGCAACTTTTCATATACTTACTCGCAATCCATATGCTTTCTTAATAAAGTGTCTGTTCAAATCCTTTCCCACTTTTTAATTGAGTTGATGTTTCTTATTGTTGAGTTTTAAGAGTTCTTTATATATATATATATATTTTTTTAATTATTGTTCTTTTAAAAATATTTTATTTATTTATTTTTCAAGAGAGGGGAAGGGAAGGAGAAAGAGTAGGAGAGAAATATCAATGTATGGTTGCCTCTCATGCGTCCCCTGCTGGGAACTGGCCTGCAACCCAGGCATGTGCCCTGACTGGGAATCGAACCGTGATACTCTGGTTCGCAGGCCCATGCTCAATCCACTGAGCTATGCCAGCCAGGGCTTCCTTATATATTTTAGATACAAGTCCTTTCTTGCCAATGTCATTTACAAGAATTTTTTCCCAGTCTGTAGCTTATCTTTTCCTTCTCAATGTCTGTCAGAGCAAACATTTAAATTTTGTTTAAAAATAAACAAAAATGCCAGGAAAGTCAAGTTTGAACTTTCATACTTTGGATCCAGATTTGTTTCCCCAATCCACCTGCTACCACCGTGCTCTCTGTTCACAGCTTTTTGTTACTGTCAGTGGGAGAAACAGAGAGTTTTAAAAATTATATTTAATTTTTAAAAATTATTTTCCCATTTAAATGAACTTACTCCTATTTCATACAAACAATAACTCTAGCACAGTTGTTTAATTTATCTATCATGTGTGTGTTCCCCTAGCCAGACAGAGAACTTCAAAGAGCAGTCACCATTATTCTTTCCCATGGGATCCCCAGGCTATAGTACTGGGCCTGGCACAGTGCTTATAAAGTGAATGAATGATCAAACTTCACTACGGTGACCAACAATCATTGAAAGAACATGGTGATTTTTCTAATCTATTTGTCATCCTTAGCTTATATATTAGTTATGATACTAATCTGTTTTCTCAAATATTATAGATAAAAAACCAATAATCTGGGTAATGGCCATCCATTGTCTGGTGTGCCCAGCATACTCCTCTGATGGGAAACAGTTTCTTTCTGCATCCAAGAAGTGGATCTGGTAAGGACTTCCAGTCATGCCTCTTTGCTCACCCCCATGACCTAAGCAAGCCAATCAGAAGCCTTCACTGGGATTTTTTTAAATTGGAACTAAGAGCAGAGACTCTCTTCCTCTGTTTTAGTAGGAAGCTCGTCTGTAGTAGGAGAGTAAAGTACATATGGAGAGAGAAGCACAGAAAAGAGATGGATTCTGATTCCATTTCATTCTCTGTTTTTCCCAGACTAGTTAAGAGATAGTATATGCCTCTTTTTGTCGATGCTAGTTTGAGGTGGCTTTCTATTTGCTACCAGAGTTAAACAAATGCAACCTGAATGATTAAGGCTTCTTTTGAGATGTCTTCACCTCTTTCTATAACATGTAATCTCAAAACACAGTATGTGACTCCATTACTTATTGGTTTGTAGCATCTCATGTTTGAACTCTGTACCATGGTTTATCACCTTCCCAATTTCAAATTTACAATGGTATGCTTTTTCTCTCTTATTTTGAAATTTCTCACTCCTCCTCAGCACATTTCTCCCTTCCAAGTACTAACCAGGCCCGGCCCTGCTTAGCTTTCAAGATCAGATGAGATCGGGTGAGTTCAGGGCAGTATGGCTGTAGACGATCTCAGCACATTTCTGATGAAGCATTTATTGTCAGGAAGCAAGGAAGCTAACATCCTGGGTTTTATTTTTGCCAGAATTTATTGAAATTATAACTTTTCTGCCTATCATATAAATCAATATCTCAAGCTTGAATTCTTTTATATTTCTTCCTGCAAAAAGCTTTACTGTTTTCGTTTGGTCCAATGCATGGGAGAGGGCTCCAGGGTTTAAAGGAATGCCTAGTGACTTCAGGCAAAAGCCAAAAAGCAGGGAAATGCAGAGGCGCCCCTCAGAGGTCTCTGGGATCCAAAGCTTCTAGCTGTGCTTGAGGGTGAGCCTTTCAAGGGATACTCACTCAGCCTAGCCTGGGGCCAGGCAGCCTGATGAAGTTAGTTAGATGGTTTGCTCATCTTCTTGATGAGTTTCACCTCCTCATCCAGGAAGTGCTTCTCCAGGAAATCACAGAGCTGAGCGTCTGTGTGGACAGAACTCAGGACATGCAGATCCAAAAAGGTCTGGTTCAGGTTCTCCATGATCATGGCAGCTTCCATGGCATCCTGAGTTGTACCCCACTCATCGTGGGACAGCTCCTGCACATCCTGGAAGAGAACAGGGCCACTGCACTGGTTTTGCATCTTCAAGAGATGCTGGCTCCCTTGAGCTTCTCCTCGGCCAACTCAGGGAACAGGCCCATGCCCTCCAAAGCCATCATCGCAGGGGAAATAGAAGCCCCAAGAGAGGTAGGTGTAGGAGGCCATCAGATGCATGTTGAGCAGGTCGTTGACAGCAGCCTCCACCTTGGTGTAATAATTCTGATGAATTTGGCGGCAGCCTCCACCTTGGTGTAATAATTCTGATGAATTTGGGAGATCATAGTTTTTCAGGAATAAGAAATTAGGGTAAAAAAAAAGTGTTAGCTGATCTTGGAGGCTGAAGATGGCTGAGGTGGTTCCAAAGGTGGTGACTGGAAAAGAGGTTGGAGGGTGGTTGGAGACTGCGAGAAGGGACATCCCTGGGTCTGCTCCATGCAAACACTGTTGAAGCAAGAGGCAGATCCAGGGGACTACTGAGGGCTCTGTCTTGAATTCTTTTTAAAGGAGAGAAATTCTTTATAGTTCTCATCATTTGTTCTCTCTCTATAAACACATTTATTTTTTGCTATTTTAAAGTAATTGTTAACAGAAATTCATTTCACTACAAAAAAGAGAAGGAAATGAAACAGAAAGAAAGGAAGAAAAGAGAAGGCAGGTGGGAAGACAGGAAGGGAAGAAATGTCAAGTAGGACTCAGTGTTTTAAGAAAACTTTTTTCAGCTGAGAAATATTGGTCAAACAAAATAGAATCCAAAGGCCCAAAGAACAAAAAATTGAGACTGATCTATCTCAAGCACTAAGAGGGTGAGCAGCCTGCCACCTGCATACCCTAACATAACCTTGAGCGGCCTCTGAGAAACTCTAGGGTGCAAGAGCCTGGATTCCCGGGGGAAAGAAGTCTGTCAAAGACTGGGAAATGCATTTTTATCAACAGAACCAAATTCTTTAAATAGAGCATTTTGCTTCTCTAACTAAAGGAAAATGGTTACATAGTAGCAGAAACCTAATCTAGGAATTCTGGGCTCTTTCAACAACAAAGCACTAGTGGTGATGCTAAGCAATATATCTTTACTGTCACAAAATACTGCAGCTCTAATTTATCTCGCATATTTGTTTTAAAATTCAATATATCACTAAGAAAAATGCGTATAAATTTTAAGGAATATCTGGAAAAAAACAGCAACATTTCAAAGTGAGAAATCAGCCTGGACTCTGATTTAGTTCATGTTCTATGTTCTTGATCCTGAAAAAAATAATGTTATCTAATGTCCTAATCCAATGACCTGAAAAGAAAACAAATTAAAGGACAGAATTTTGGGTAGAATAAACATAATACTATTGGAATATTGCATTTCTTTTAAGCTCCCTTTTTAGAGGCACCAAAACTGGCAGCAGTATTCAAATCCACCATGAGTTATATATTGATAAGAAAGCAAATAAAGATTAATTACTAGACGAGCCATAAAGGCAAGATTGCTATCATGCTGAAATCAAATTATTTCACTATTGGCATTCCATTTTATGTTTCCTTCATCAAAGAGCACCTGTCTTGTCTACTTGAAACGTTTGCATACCTGTCACATTTGTCTTGTGCTCTTTTCTTTTTCTCCTCAAACTGTTCCAAGAGGCCTTTTGATTTGCCAACAGACAAAGGAAGAGGAAATAAGCCTCCATCCTTTGTATCTTCTCCAAACAGCTGGGGTTTTGTTTGGTACTTTGTGAAAATACTAGGTTCACTCTGTTAAATTAAAAGAAATCATTATAGCATTTTACATATAAAAATGCCTATAACATTCACTAGTTTCTATACAATGCAGAGTCACATTTATATGCAAACCATAATTTTAATTACAGCATAGCATGTAGTATTTCCTTTTTATTTCATATATGCAAGAAAATTATATTAAAATAAAGCAACTGTTTTTATTAATATAATTTCTGCCTTACCAGCCTAGAGATATATAAAATGTCAGCAAAAATGGCTTAAAATCAATTTAATAAATTTAAAGGCAACAGCAGAAAAATTTTTCCATCAACTATTTTATTTATGAGGTCTGTCTGGAAAAATTCTAGCCATTGTTAATATAACAAAAACGGTTAGCATGGCATCCATGTAACCTGGCAGCCAAGGAGAGTAGACTGGAATGCGCATCCATGAACAAGGATGACTTTACTGTACTAGTCAGTGGGGACAGTAGATACCTGTTGAGTGAACGTGTGTACTATGTGGCCATCACATTCAAAATGATTGAGTGAGTAGAGCAACAAAGCTGCATCAAATTTTGCGTTAAGCTTGAACATTCCTCCACAGAAACTATTTGGATGATTCAGAAGGTCGCAGCTATGGTCAACTGGTGATTGGCAGCTTCATCACAAAAACGCACCAGCTCATGTACCATGTCTTGTGCAGAGTTTTTTTGGTGAAACATCAAATCACCCAGGTGACTTAGCCCCACTACAGGCCAGATTTGGTGCCCTATGACTTTTGACTTTTCCCAAAACTAAAATCACGTTTGAAAGGAAAATATTTCAGGCCATCAATGAGGTTCAGGAAAATACGACAGGGCAGCTGATGGTGGTTGGAAGAACTGTATGCAAAATTTACTCTGAAATATTCAGGTAGTACATTTACTCCTTCATATCACTGGGTACCAATTTTTGTATTGAAATACTTATCTTAGAGCTTACCCCTGCAAATTTTTAAAATTTTTTTATTGATTATGCCATTACATTTGTTCTATTTCCCCCCTCCATTCCCCTCCACTCTGCACACCCTCCCCCACCATCCCCCCCCTTTAGTTCATGAACAGGTGTCTCACATTCTTTAGATTCTATATTTTCCCTACTATTCTTACCCTGCCCCTATCTATTTTCTATCTACTGTCTATGCTACTTATTTTCTGTACCTTCTCCCCCCTTCTCCTCCTCCCACTCCCCTGTTGCTAACCCTCCTTGAGATCTTCATTTCTATGGTTCGCTCCTGATCTAGATGTCCTCTTAATTTGCTTTTGTTTTAGGTGTAGGTGTTAATAACTGTGAGTTCGCTGTCCTTTCACTGTTCATATTTTTTATCTTCTTTTTCTTAGGTAAGTCCCTTTAACATTTCATCTAATAAGGGCTTGGTGATGATGAACTCCTTGAATTTGATCTTATCTGAGAAGCACTTTATCTGTCCTTCCATTCTAAGTGAAAGTTTTGCTGGGTTGTAGGTCTTTGGTTTTCATGACTTGGAATACTTCTTTCCAGCCCCTTCTTGCCTGTAAGGTCTCTTTTGAGAAATCTGCTGACAGTCTGATGGGAACTCCTTTGTAGGTGACTATCCCCTTATCTCTTGCTGCTTCTAGGATTCTCTCCTTCATTTCAATCTTCGCTAATATAATGATGATGTGCCTTGGTGTGTTCCTTCTTGGGTCCAACTTCTTTGGGACTCTCTGAGCTTCCTGGATTTCCTGGAAGTCTCTTTCCTTTGCCAGAATGGGGAAGTTCCCCTTCTGGCACCCCTATAATTCGGATGCTGGAGCGTTTAAAGATGTCCTGGAGGTTCCTAAGCCTCTCCTCATTTTTTAAAATTCTTGTTTCTTCATTCTTTTTTCTGTTTGGTCATTTTTTACTTATTTCTGGTCTGCTCCCTTGATTTGAGTTCCAGTTTCCTTTCCATTACTATTGGTTTTCTATGCATTACCATTCATTTCAATTAGTTTAGCCTTCATATGTTCCTCTAATTTGTGACTAAAATCAAGCAGTTCTGTGAGCATCCTGATCACCAGTGTTTTGAACTGTGCATCTGAAAGTTTTGCTATTTCTTCGTCACTTAGAGTTATGGGCTCTGGGGCTTTGAGATCTTCTTGAGCCATTTTTGGTCTATTCGCACCCATTAAGTATGAGGAGCAGAGCCTTAGATGTTCATCAGGGTAGGACCGCCCAGGTCGCTAGGTTGTGACACTGTATGTGGGGGCGGGGTCAGAGAGGGAGCAATGGCGGTCCTCTCTGCTCGCCCAGTCCGCCTCACTACTCGCCCCCGCCTACTTATCTGAGTGCAAATGTGGGAGCCCACCGCCCTGTGCTGGGCGGTCTCAATGCTCGCCTCTTCACTGGTTTATCTGCATGCAAATGTGTGACTGACTGCCGACAGCAAGCCATGCCTCTTCCCTGGGTTCGGACCATAGCTAGCCCGCACCTAGGATTCGCACCCTTGGCTGCCTGTGTACCACCCAGTCAGGGGATCTTTTTTGCCTGACCCGCTCCACTGCTAGCTTTGCCCCTCTCACCGGTTTAGCTGAGTGGTGCATTATTTTCGGACTCCGTATTCGATTTCTGTGTGGTTTGGTTGCATTTATTAAAGTTGTTAAAACTTTATTGTTTTTAGATTTGGTTGTGCGAGGACGCAAAGTGTTCCCACCTACGCCTCCATCTTGGTGGAAGTCTTACCCTGCAATTTAAAGCACTGACCTAATCTTATTCATTAGGTTTCTATTTGATACAGTTAAGTCTGGATATAAAGTCAAATTTAGTTCTACACCAAAATAAATAAATATATAAGATATTTCTGTCTCAAAAAGAAGACGTGCTGGTCTCAAAGAAAATTAAGGACTCAGGAGACTTGGTTCCTCATTCTGGCCCTTATTCATTAACTTGGGCCTCAGAATCCTCATCTCTTCAAGGAGATAATGTAGCATAGAGTAGACTAAAATCCACAAAGCACCTGAAGTTTCTTGGGGGAAAAAACTGTCCATCTAAAATAAAATTTGTTACTTTATTCCAATTTTTCTAAAGTTCTTTTTTCTTATGAAATTTTTATGAATAATTGTAAGACTAGTCTTAGAAAATATCATACACTATTTGGATCTCCATGGAAGTGACTGAGGTATTGGCAGTATCCTACATTGCTTTGGTGATATAGAAGAAACTGTAAATATGAATGTTTTCTCCATTTCAAATTACCAAGTCAAACAAATCACCAATAAGCACAGATCCATTTAGGAGAGTAATCCTTAGAAAAGTACACTTCTAAAAAATATAATTCAACGGAATGTCTTTTTTATAGCTTATCTCCATGACAGTGAAATGTGTACAGAAAAAATGCTGGCAATCAGACTCACATCCAGAGAATTCTTCTGTAAGTGTTTTGGATCTCTCAAATGGACACCAAAGTCCAATGGTGCTGACAGGGTCTCTGAACTTTCTGGACAGAACTGGGACCCAAAGAGGAACTGAGAATCACTGAGACTGGAGTAATCAGCCTGATTATTGGTCCAGTTTGATGACTTAGTGGTCCTGAAATTAAGCCAAAAAAAAATATATAGCAAATGGAAAATATCCTGAACAAATAAAATCATAATTCACAACTATTCATTTCAGAATATTCTGGGCAGAGAGCTAGCTTGTTTTGACCTCCTAGTCCCCTGAACACTGCCAGAACTACCTATAAAGAAACAAGAAAATTCTGAATGCCAGACATTTTGATTACAACAACCTGGAAACAATCAGATGGGAATTCAAACAATAACTCCACTATTCCTTGTATAATAGCACTGTAGGCTGTAACACCATTTTGGAGATCAAAGTTCATAAAATCTTTTAAAAAGTTGAATCTTTTCATCATTAAGGGGATATAAAAAACAAAATATGGTATATGCACATAATTGGTGCAGTAGTCAGAAGCAATAAGCTACATTTACATATAACCACATGAATAAGTTTCAAAAATGTAATTTTTAGTGCAGAAAAAAGAACTGAATGAACATCAATACATATGATTTATGTAAACTCTTAAAACTACATCATATATACCATGAGGATGGGGCCCTCATGATGGGATTAGTGTCCTTATAAGAAGGGACACCAGAGAGCTCATCACCCCCCGACCCCCTGCCCACCATGTGAGGACACAGCAAGAAGGTGGTTGTCTGCAAGCTAGGAAAGGACCTCTCACCAGAGACCAATTATTCTGGCATAAAGGTCTAGGACTTTCAATGTCCAGAACTGTGAGAAAATAAATTTCTGTTGTTAAGTCATCCAGATTATGGTACTTTGTTTTGGTAGCTCAAGCAAACTAACGTAAGCCTCCTTTACACTGAAGAGTATGATCAACTCAGATTTGTGCAGAGGAGAATCCATTAACAATTGTTTTTGAAACAAGGTATTGTTCCCTTTCCCATTTCTAGTGTCTTGTCTTTGCTTGCTTTAAGTACATGCAGCTGTGGACTTCCAACTTGCTTTTCATGGATATCTATGCCAGTCTTTGAACTTCACATACAAAGGAGACAGTGATAGTGATAATAACACAATCATATTGCACACAGTGTACTAAGCCTACTACAGAGACAGCATACATAAGTAGGACAAGTAAAGCAGTCTTCAAGTTTTTACTTGAAAGACACCTCAATTTGTGTTACTTAATGCAGTTGTGTAACCCAAGAAAACATGTTTTTAGTTAAAACACACACACACAAATCATTCCTTTTCCAACTGTTAAATTTAAAGTGATTAAATAGCATATAAATATATATTCTAAGTTAAAGAAACCATTACAAGGCATAAAGAAACACTAATAGTTCACCACAGCAAAGAGTAATTATTTTGACTTGGAGAATCGTTTTTTAAGATTAACTAAGGTGATGAGCTGCACACATATAATAAAGGTTGCATAATCATTACATTAAAAACACAGCTCTTTGAGCCTACAGAAATCATGTAGGATTTACATTTTAAAGTCATTACCTGGATTAAACAAAGATTTTCCATAGTCTGTGTCAACTTTAAGCACATTTTTTCTTTTTAAGAAAGTTTTTTAAATGCTGTAGATTTTCGCTGAATTAATAACTGTAGTTATGAAGATGTTAGGAAGAAAATAAACTATCCAATGATAAAAGCATACCAAAAGCAATTAGAAATCTCTCAAATATATACTACTTCTGGGACACAGCCACCAATTTAGCAATGGCAGGCCTACTGCATGGCTGGTGGACACCAATGTAAGTACCTCAGTGGAGTAGTTATAGAGGGAGCAATATCTCAATGAGCCTTTTCAATAGCTACAGGGGCTCTTAACTCCACAGCACCTACAAATTATATGACACAAATAAACATATATCTGAACACTGTTTTGATTTAAAAAAAAAGTATGGGAGGGTGCAGCAGTGACACTCTAGGGGAAGAAACCATATGGGGTAACTCTATTACTATAAACCAATAGGAAGGGAAGCTTGTTTCTATGAAATCAATACAACTAATAAATCTTCTTAAGTATCAGAGTATGTAACTAGAAAACTTACCCAGAGCCTGAGGGAATGCTGAGCATATCTTTGATATTCCAGACATTAAAATTCATTTCTTATGAGTATCTCTATTTAAAGAACGAGGAACATTAATTTAAAAGGTTAATATAATTTCCCCCCAAGATTGCTTTACTGATGACTATTTTCTATGTAAATGAGAACATTTTAGTAGTCACATTTTCATCCAATTAGTGAAAATTCCCATTACCTGTGTGCCAGCAACAGCTACTTTCTGCTGTTAAACTGCATACAAATTTCTCTCCTCCTTAATACCACCAGGGAGAGCCCAGTCACCTGAGAAATAGTTAATCTGCCTCCCATCCTCTCTTCTCCTGTCCTTTTCTCTTGCCACTTTAGTAATAATCTGCTTTTAGGAAAACACCAATAACCCCTATTTTTCAATTACCATATTCTTGCAAAGCTTTAAAGGCAAGAAAAAAAGGGGTGGGAGGCTATAGACTAAAAGATGTATGATGATGATGTAGAATTGTACCCCTGAAACCTAGATAATTTTATTAACCCATGTCACCCCAATAAATTACAAATAAATAGGAAAAAAAGAGATTTCTGAGGCACATCAACCAAATACAATAAATGTGTCTGGATCCTGAACTTTAAGAAAACAATCAGGGAAATTTACACATTGACTCGCTACATAATGGCATTTTTAAAAAAGGCTAAGTGTGTTAATGATATTGTAGTTATAATAGAGTCTTATCTTTTATACGTACATAAGTTTTAATGGATTAAATAATCCGTGCTTTGCTTTAAAACAACACAAGATGAGCTGGGGTAGCCAAGCAGGAATACGGACAGACTGGCCCCAGGTTGCTAATTGTTGAAGCTAGGTGACAGGGACATTGGAATTCATTTATCCATGATCTTTTTTACATGTTTGAAATTTCCCACAATAAAAATTTAATAAATAGATAAGTACCTTGTGTTACCTGACAGCTCCCAAAGTTCTTACCTACAGCCCAGACCCCTCTCCTGAACTGCACACTCCTATATTCTATTGCTGACCTGACACTGCTACTTGGAAGACTAACATGCACCTCAAACTTAAGATCATATCCAAGATAATCATCTTTCCCCCAAAACATTCTCCACCTATAGCCTTCCTGTTCCAGTTAATAGCAATTCCATCTTTCCAGTTGCTCAGGCCAAAACCTGAGTCCTCTTGGACTTCCTTTTCTCAAATGTAATCTGCCAGTAGTATTTACTGGCAACTCCTTTAAAACATGTCCAGAATCAGACCGCTCATTCCTTCCATTGCAGGGTTGCCAGATAAAATACAGGATGCCCAATTAAATTGAATTTCCCATATATTTCATGGGACACATGTACAAACATATGTTTACCTGAAATTCATATTTAACTGGGTGTCCTATATTTTTATTTGCAAAAATCTGACAACCTTTCTTCTCTCCTCAGATACTGTATCAGCATAAGCTACCCCCCTCCTTCCGGTGTTCTCTCAACAATTTATTCAGAATCATCATACCTCAACAATTACTATCTCTCTCTCTCTCTCTCTCACATTTTCTGCAGCGTATCCTAATACACTATATACTTATATATATATATATAAAACTTATCTGTCTCAGATAAGAGACAGGCCTCCTAAAATGTAATGTTGAACTCTTCAAGAATAGGAATTTTTGTATGTTGTGTTCACTGCTATATCCCCAGAATCTAGAAATTGTGTCTAGCATATAATATGCCAGAAAATATTTACTGTTAAATGAGAAAAAATACTTGGAAATTCAATTTAGACAATGGAGAAAAACTTTCTAGAGAGCCACGAATTTAAAAATACATGATTTGTTTTCAATTATTACATTTCGGGTACGTAAAGACTTAGTACACATTTTAACAAAGATGAATTGAATTTAATATAGGATAGGTGGCTCATGTTTACTTATTTCTTTGATAACCCAAGATTTTTTTCCTTATTCTTACTAGCAGAAATCCTTCTAGAAGCTAGATTTAGGATACAGGCAATTTTATATACATCACCGCAAGACCACTGCTTAAGGCCATTATTTATCTAGATGGCAAGCCCTGTTGTCTTCCACCTCTGTTTACGCGGATGGGAAACGAGTTGTTTGCCTACAGCACGTGACCTGGGGTTTCGAATACTGCTCTCCCTGTTCCACGGTTCCCCTTGACCGGGTCTAAGGACCCCACAGAGCTTCATGTGCTCGGCCCCGTGTCCATCTGTCCTCTGCATTTTACCTGTCTTCATGCTACCTGTACAGGTTTTAAATGCTCAGATGGCAGAAACCCCATCTGTTTCCAGCCCTCCTTTACAGCACGAGGAATGACGAGGCAGTTGTCTAAGCTGGAGCGCCAGTCATACTACGGTCAATGGAAACTGAGCTTGAGCGCACTCATTCCAAGTTTCCCAGGGCAAGGCTCCCTCTCCCTCGCCCGCACCCCCCCCCCCCATTAAAGGAGGCGCATAAGTGGAGGAGTGCCCCTCCGCTCCCTCACTGGGTCGCAACAGTTTCCCCCTCAGATTTGGGGGCGCCCCGGGCCTCCCTCGACTTGTCTCTGGTCTCTCCAGGAGGGAAGACCCCGCCCCTGGGCCCCCAGTCTAAATCGTTCTGCCGCCGGCCTTTGCAGAGGCCTCCAAGAGATTTTCCGGAAAGGAAACCAACGACAAACGACAAAACCCAGCAGGGTTCCCTGGCTTCCTGTGTACCCGGGACTCGTGTGGGTAGTCTCCTCGGAGCACCCGCGCCGGCGTCCGTCACAGGGAAAGAAAGGGCGGCTAGGGGCTGCAAGGCGTGGCCCCGGGAAACAACTCAAGGTCCCCCGGAGTCCCGAACCTACTGGCAAAGACCCCTCGGCACTGACACCGCCCCCCACCCGTCCCAGCGTGCCTGTCCAAACCCTCCTGCCACCACCTCTGAGAGCCGCACACAGGTCTGGACCTGAGGTAGCCCTGATTTGGCTTCAAAAATTAGTTGGTCCAGAAAGCCGACTGAGCATGCGCGGCCCCGCCCCCAGGGCCCGCTCTAACCAATGGATATTACACCCCGCCCCCGCCGTGGCATGTGACTAACAGTTTTAACGGTTCTAACGGTTAAGTATTGGCCGGGTGTGCTGGCCAGCTTTGCGCACATGCTCACTCACACCCAGTGCATATACGCCTCCTGAGATGTCCCCTCACACCCTGCTGCCCACGCACACCCCGCCGCCATCCCCCGCCGACGCAGACCCGCTTGGGGGACATCACACGCACACCTGGCTGAATGTGGGGTGGCCTGGGCGCCGGGGTCAGGGCCCGGCTGGGGCCTGGGTGGTGGTGGCCTTCAACGCCATGAAAACCGGATGGATCAGCAACGAAGGCGGTGGGTAGGAACATTGTGCTGAGGCCCCGACACTCGTCGGACCCTCATCGGCTGGAGGCCTAGATGAGGCAAAAGCCGTAGAGGAGCCAGGGGTCTTGGGCGCGGACGACCGCCAGCAGAGTGCGGTGCGGTGGAAGCCACCTGCGCCGCCGGGAAGAGGAGGAGGGCACCGGCCCCTCCGGCGCTGCTGGCGGAACGTGGGGAAGGAGGAGTGAGAATCACCCGCGGTGCCAACAGGAACCGTCTCGGTTCATCCGCTGCGTTCGTAAACCACGTAGGGCCTTGGTCGGCGCGTCTGTATCATTGCGGAACCGGTACACTCTGTGTCTTTCCACAGCTTGACTTTTTGACTCACCATTTTAAAGATTGATCTCTGTGGATTCAAGTATCTGTAGCCCATTCATAGTATCTCCGGTATTTCGCTGTCACTGTCGACCATTTTCCCCACGGCCCTGTCGCTAACCCCCCTGTCGCTAACCCCCCCAGGCTGCTCACAGTTTGCCCCTATCCCGCTGCTGCAGGGGTCGTTCTCGTCCCTGTGTGAGGGCACTTCCAGGGTGATGACATTGTCACGGGCGAGGCGGGAGTTAGGGTTAGGCACTTTCTGGCTAGCACAACGAGTGACACCAGCAGGGTCTGAGTGTTTCCTGTGGTTGAATTTTTCATTGGCACTTTTTTTTTTTTTTTAATTTTTAGAGAGAGGGGCAGGGAGGGAGAAAGAGGAAGAGAAACATCAAGGTGTGGTTGCCTCTCCTGCGCCCCCTACTGGGGATCCGGCCCACAACACAGGCACATGCCCTGACTGGGAATTGAACCAGCGACTGTCTGGTTCACAGGCCAGTGCTCAATCCACTGAGCCACACGAACCAGGGCTATTGGCTGTTGGCACCTCTTTAGTTGCTGACTGATGGCTTCTTTTGGTTAGTGAAAGGGATGAACAGTTCACATCCCAGTGTTACCAATGAAAGAGAGAGGGAGAGAGAGAGAGAGGGAATGAGAATTACTTGTCCAAGGATAGCTTGGAATAGAACCACAATGTAAATAAATATTTTCATGTTCCTTCTTTTGCTCCTCTGTTATGCTCGCCTCCCTGCAGGTCCTTGTCACATTCACCTGCCGTGATTAGGGATGTTCCCAGTCACCACAAACTCCTGAGAAGTGGACAGACAGAGCCTTATTCTGAAACACTAATTTTATTCTAAGAGCCACCAACCCCTTTAACGTTTCTTCTGGCTCCATGGAGTGCTTTCTAAATTTATATCCCTGGCATTTTGGTTGGGCAGTTTTAAAAATGCAGGATTCACCTCTAAATGTCCTTTAATATTTCACTGACTATGAATTCCTCGGACTCCACAGTGGAGCCTTATGTGTTTCTATATATAAGGACACTCTCAGGCTGTTAATGTGGAGGGGCAGATTTCTCTCTGGGGGGAAGTGAAACAGCAGGAAGCCCAAATGGGTAGCAGGCTAGGTGCTGCCTCAACACTTACCAGCATTGTGCAGTCACAACGTCCCTTTGTCACTAAGCAACAAGAAGTTTGCCTCCTGCAATTTTCAGACAGCCTCAGAGAGACAAGAGGAAAGTTTACCTCTTTGGTTCCTTTCCCCGGAAAGATGAAGAGTGCTTTAGTAGGCTCCTGGGTAAGAGCGTATTTGATAGTTAATCCTGGTCCCTGGCCCTGGAGTAATACGTG